ACAGTGACGAGCTTTGAAGGAGAATCCTAGCTTGGTTCGTTGGTTTACACCTATAATCTCAGCACTTGGAAGCTGAAGCAGGAGGATTGTGAGTTCCAAACCAGTCTGGGTTACATAGTGGGACTGTTGTCTCATGGCAACCAAAAAGGAAAGAAAAGGGGAAAAAAATAACTGTAAGTGCAAATAAAGCTTTTCTCCCTTTAACAAAATAAAACACTTTATTTCTGTATTTTATTGACTTCAGTCAATTAATGTGTAACTTTAGAAAACAAAATGTTCAGTTTCGTAGCCAAAGTAGTACTTGGTAACCACAGAGCACACACGGTCCCATTGTCACAGAACAAACATTCTGTTGGATGGTATTCCTATTACCTATTGGAGGCATTGTTATCTGGCCTCTCATTAGCAGGACATCACCGAAGTTGTAAGCAATGCATGAATATAATTTAGAACTTGTCATTAGATCCAAACCGCATAAGCATTCTATAGTGTTCAACTCTAAAGTCAGACTTTTAAAGTCTTATCCAACGCCGCACTGTTTCTATGCATTGAAGGCATCTCTCTCTTTCTCTCTATTTAAACTTGACACTTGCCCCAGATTTCTTCCTGAGACAAAAACAAAACCCAACCCAAATATGCTATTCCACATCAGACTCCATCGCCTAAAATCGGAATAGTTTGAAATACTTAGTCTTTTATTTCAAATCCGTGACTGGTTTTAATCAACCCTCCCCTCACCGGTGTGTTAACGTCTGTCCTGTACTGCGAATAGCTAATGACCATTTTTCTCTGTTGCAGGTGAATGCACAATATTTGCAGCTGTTCGTGATTTAATGGCTAATCTTACACTGCCCCCTGGTGGGCGTCCATAGACACTATTGTTTTTAAACCAGGAAGGCTGACAAATGAAAAAACAACACACACACAAAAAGGCTGAATTCAGCCATCAGTTTTAAAAAGGAAAAAGACTTTTTTTTTTAAACCTTAAGAGCTAAATATTCTAAACTGGCAAAACTTTTCAGGGTGCACTTCTTTCATCAAAAAGACCATCAATCTTTTGTATAGTGAACTTGTATAGTGTGTTTAAATGCGACACATTTCAAACTAGGTAACAGATCAGTGTCCGCTTGCCAGTAATAGATTTAATATTCTGTTTTATACTATAAAGTAATGAAAATGCCAAACTTGTTTATTTAATTGTTTTCTTATGTTTTGGATGTAATGGTCTTTTTTGATTTTTTTTTTTTTAAAGGCAGGTCTGTCATTTTTGAATACTGTAAACTGTGACAAACTTTATATTGAAGCTGTATTTTACTATTGACCGCTTTGAATCCTTACACAGAAATGTTTTGGGAGCTGTTAAACACATCCCAAAGAAGCAATATTTAATAAAACTAGGATATAAAAGTGACACTCACTTGTGTGTGTATAAGCTCTCTAGAGTTATTAGGGCCTCCCTTCATCTTCACCCTGGTGGGGCCAGTCAGTTTTTAATTACGTATGTCTGAAATTTGACCAAAAACATTTTTGTTTTAAGGTTAATGTAGTTTCTTCAGACATTCCTAACATGACTGGTGATAACATTTAGCACCTCGGTTGTTTTTTCAGTATAGGATTTATGTAAAATAAGAGAACTTTGTCTTTGAAAAGAGACAGTAAGTGATTTATAGTGATCAAGGATCCCAAATAATGCAATTATTCTCATGTGTGAGGAAATGGGAACCTTTTTGCTAGGAAAATGTCATTTAAAGGATACTTCTGCACACAGCATTAACTAGGAAGCAAAGAACTTGAATGCTCTAGTTTGCATGAAGTTTTGGTGACATTTCTTTATCTTATTTAACTTCTTACCTTCCCCAGCACAATTGAGGTTGTTCTAAACAATCTCAATTTGATTCATTGTCAACAAAACAATAGGATGTTTTGCTGGACACAACCTGGTCCAGTCATTTGAAAAGTCCACAGTGCAGGGCCTGGGTAGGGTCCAGTGGAGTTTCTGGCACTGGTACCTCTCAATAGGATTTCTTTCTAGAGTACTGTACTGTCTCTTGCAGCCAGTCAGGGTCTTTTTAAGCTTCGATGAATATGATCTGATTCAAATGTCTTCTGATGACTTGATGTGATTTGGAGCAGTTTTTTTTTGTTGTTGTTTTATGTTTTTTTTAATGATAATATCATGCTGAGTTATCTAGTCAATGTAATATGGTCCTCGATGAAATTTTAGATGTTTGTCTGATTCCATTTTAAGATGATTATTTGAGCTTCTATAACTATAACCACCAGATTCTAGTTTTAAGCATCTCACTGCAACTGTATCATGTGTTCTCAACTTTGCTTGACTCTCCATTTCCAGTCAGAGTTGAGGGCTTCTGTCTTCTGTGTCTCCTTTCTCCTTCATCTCCTGCTTCTCACCCAACTCTGCCGCTATTCCAGAGTAGGTGACTAAACTTTTATTCTTCTTTAACCTACCCCTTTTCTCCTTCTGTTTTCAGTTTTCTTCACAGTGGTAATCACATGGGTTTGGCAATCTAAGATGTCTTGATCAGGAGTCAGCCCTTTTCTATTAGGAGCTGAATCCTATCTTTCATGTAGAAATCTACATGTATATACAAGAAAATGTATTTTTATCTGCAGGATGATATTGTTTCAAATAATTTTATTAATAGAATTAACTTTTCAGGTATTTTCTCTTTTAAGTGTGGTTTTGAAATGTTAATTGCATTTTTATACATGATGCATTCAATGGGTACTTTTTCCTAATTATAACTCACCTTTGAATGCATTGTGTAAATCAAGTAAGATAGGATTCAATGAACAGAATTTGATTTTGATGCTTATTAAGAGTAAACCAATGAATTTGAATTTTGATATCATGCTTGGTACTTGGAATTGGTATATACTTTATTAAAGCTTGGAAATACTTAGCATTTGAATCGTAACTTTCATCACAAACCATGTCTTTTGCCTCTTTTGTTAACCAGGTTCAATCAAAGAAACTGGATGCCATAGTGATTTTTCTCTAGTAGGTGGTTTGGAACTTGATTTTAAGGTGTTTTCAATGTGATTTTAGTATTTACAGTAATAAATAAAATTTATACAAGTTTCAGAGAACTACCAACTCTCTAGTTAATTTTGGTGAAGATGTTTTGGGTTGTAGTCTTGGTTTAGCATTAGTTTAACCCTGAAAGAAGACATTGGTCCTGAGTCACCTTTTCCCTTTTACGTCTGCAGAGATGTCATTTCGAAACGTATAGAAGGACTTTCAGGGTTAAGAGGAAAGTGAGAACTTCATCAACGTACGGCCAGTTATTTATGGCAGGAACTGAACCTTGTTTGAAGATTAGCTGAGTTAAGGGTAGGAATAAAGTTTTATTTGACATGTTTTTTTTCCTCCAAAAGAAATACCAGTTACATTTTTTTTTCCTTTTTCTTCTTCTTTTTTTTTAAATCAGACAAGGTCTTTCCATGTTGCTCAGGCTGGCCTTGAACCTCCTAGGTCCAAGTGATCCACCTCTGAGTACTGGGAAGACAGGCGTGTCCCACCACCCCTACTTTCAAGTGTTCTTGATACAAAATTTATACTTTTAAACATTTTAAGAAAACTTATCATGAAAAGTGAGAAAAGGGAAAATGTTCATGTAGATTTCATTGGGTTTTGTGGAATTTTTCATTTGCTTTGATGGGAATGGGGTATTTGGATTTGCTTTGGATGGATTTAATATTGAGGTTAGTAAGACCAAATTAAGAGATGCCTTCATGCACCATACTTTGAGTCTCCAGATCACCAGGTCTGATCTGGTTTCATAACTTGTCCCCACTTCCACCGGCTAGTGATTTGATAGAATTCTTTATCTAATAATGTAACTGATGGATGAAAGGGCATATTTAGGTCAATATAAAATGAGAGCTAGCATTTACTGAGAGCTTACTGTATGCCAGGCACCATTCATTCTAAGTGTTTCCATGTGTACAAATGCCCTTACCACACTGTGAGGTAAGTATTAATAACCTCCTCTTACAGATGATAAACAGAACCACAAAGAAGTAAAGTCATTAATTAGGATTAAAATTAGGATCAGCCAAGATCAAACCACAAAAAAAATGGTAGTTGAACCCATAGCTAGTGCACCTTAAACTGCCTGTGCTGTGAACCATGCGGTCTTGGGAAGGCTTCTATGTTTACAGCCTTCATTCAGGGTCTTTTGATTACACACAATTTCACCATGTTTTCCAAGCTAAAGACACTCACTGAAAGCATCTAAAACAATGACTTTCTCACTTCACATTGACAGTCTAATGCATTCTGACAGCTGAAACAACTGTGGTGTACGTTTTCTGGAGGGTTCAGCTTGTGGCTGTGCAGCCCTTCCTCCAAATCCAGGAGCCACACTAATGCCCTTTGTCTCTGCCAGGTGCTCCAGTTACGGAGACTCTGGCCCTAGTGTCAGCGTAGCACATGCCTGGGGCACACAACACAACAGACCCGCACTTCAGGCAGAGACTGTTCTACTGATGTCCGGGATTCGCTGCGGTTATTCTGTAGCTTTAGGAACGAGTTCATTTTCTAGGAGGGCATGATGCAAGGAACATGTCATTCAAGAAAGGTGCCTTGAGCACTACTCCATCTTTACAATTAAGGAGTCAAAATGGGAGTCCGCACATCCGGTTGGTTAGAGGGTTAGCAGAGTATTTGGGGAAATGAGAATTAAAGCCCCAGGGCTTTAATCAGAAGCTGCATCTGAATGTTTCAAGTCTACAAACCTTAGGCGGTTCCTTTAAGCTGTGGAGCTGCTGCTTCCCGGACGTGGAAGAATGGCCCGCCTCTAGCCTCTGTCACGAGTGACGACGCTAAGCGTGGGGGTGGCTTCTGGGTGGAGCTGCGCCTGCGCTGCGTGGAAGCTTCTCCAACGCTTGCGCTGTGGAAGCTTCCCAGGATCCCGCGCGTGCGTGCTGCCGCTGCCGCCCTGCGCCACGACCCCCCCCCCCCCCCCCCCCCCCCCCCCCCCCCGCGCGCATGCCTTTCACAGCCCGGGCGTGAGACATGGTGTTGTCAGAGCTGGCGGCGCGCCTCAATTGCACTGAGTACAAAAACTGGGTGAAAGCAGGACACTGCCTGCTGCTGCTGCGCAGCTGCCTGCAGGGGTTCGTCGGCCGCGAGGTGCTCTCCTTCCATCGCGGACTGCTCGCTGCAGTTCCCGGCCTTGGTCCCCACGCCACCTGCCGCGGCGGCTCCCGGTGCAGCCCGCGCGCTCGCCAGGTAAGCTGCTCACCCGGTGCTGGGACACATAGCCCCAGCCTGTCCCCAGTTCCCCGTGCTTGGTGTCTTTTTCCTTCGAGGGGCGGGGCTGCTTACGGCTCTTAGGGTGTACTTAATTCGCCGCCCCGCGCACATCCGGGTCCCGCCTCACCTCCGCCTCCTGTAGTTTCAGCCTCAGTGTCAAGTGTGCACAGACTGGAAACGCGAGATCTTGAGGCATCACGTCAACAGAAATGGAGACGTGCACTGGGGAAATTGCCGGCCTGGTCTCTGGCCCGTGGACGCTTGGGAGGTAGCCAAGGTAAGCAGAAGCAGGTCACCTGGTGCCCTGGGGCGGAGGGTGGGTGTGAGCGCGAGTAGGGACTTGAGAAACCACAGGTGCTAAGAGATTGGTTGGCCTAGTGTTCTGGTGGTTACGGGCTGTTAAAGTGGACCCATCCCAGCTCAGTACATAGAAGCTTTTATCTCCTTGCTTCCTGCAGGCATTTGAGCTTTGCTTCTTGGAAGCTATAGTAAAGATTTCAAAAAGAGATGCCGGGACAAGACGAATAGTGAAACCAAGTGCTCACGCCTATAATTCCCCCACTGGAGAGGCCGAGGCAGGGTTGCTGTGAGTTTGGGGATATCTTGGGCTATATAGTTTAAGACCTTGTCTCAAAAGAAGGGGAAAAAGATACCGACTGGGGGACGTGGAAGAACAGGTAAGATGTGCCTTAAGGTAGGCTCACTAAAAGGCTCGTTTTGGCCGTGGAGTGCTTAGCTAAGGTATAAAATTTTAGAAGGTAGAAATATGGTGAGTTATGAGGTAGAGGTTGTTAGGCCTGTCTTTAGATTTTGGCACTGTGACTTACTACCTAGACTGATTGGGAATTTGTTTTTATTTCTTGATGTTTCCTGGAAGCTCAGTAGTGGAGAGACGGGTTAGAAGTAGCTTCCTAACACAAATTGACTGAGTTAGTGTATGGGCAAGCACACAATTGGCAGGTGGAAGAGAGCATTGCCTGGACTGCAGTTAACATGTTGGGTCTACCTCTGTTCTCTCCCTGTCTTTATCTGGCTTGTTAAGACAAAAGCTCATGTAATCCAGGCTGGCCTTGAACTCCCAACCATCCTGCTTCTGTCTCCCAAGTGCCAGGATTACAGATATGTACCACTATACCAGCAGTCCCTTTTTTAAAAAAAGATTAGAAAGTTTCTACGGGGGCTGGAGAGATGGCTCAACAGTTAGGAGCGGTGGCTGCTCATCCAGAGGACCTGGGTTCAATTCCCAGCACCCACATGGCAGCTCACATCTGTCTACAACTCCAGTTCCAGGGGATCTGACACCTTCACACAGACAGACATGTAGGCAAAAGATGAATGCACAGAAATAAAACTTTAAAAATAAGTTTCTGTTGGGCTGGAATTGGTGGTGCCTACCTGATATCCCAGCACTTGGGAAGTAGAGGCAGACAGATCTCTTGAGTTTAAGGCCAGCACGGTCTACATGGCTAGTCTACACAGAGAGACCCAGTCTGAAAAAACCAAGAAAAGTTTTTATCATGTTAATGTGTGAGTGCATGCCACCTGTGTTCTGGTGCTCGCTGGAGCCAGAAGAGGGAGTGGGATCCTCTGGAGCTGTAGTAAGGGGTGGTTGTGAGTCTCCCACCATGGGTGACTGGAACCAAACTCCAGTCCTCTAGCAGGACAGGAAGTCCACTTCACCGCTGAGTCCCATCCACCACCACCACCCCCTTTTTTATTGCTGCACTAGTGTTTCCAATTTCTACCTTTACCTAGAGCATCCTGGGAAAAACACCTGAAAGAAGTAAGACTCCCCTTTGTAGTGACTGGCTTAGACCTGTTGGGTCTCTCCTATGGCTCTCGGAGCTTTGGAGGCCTTCTGAAGCCTGTGCCACCTGCTCTTTGCCAGACGTTCCTTCCTGTGCTTGCTGAGCGCCTGAAGACCACTTAGCTCACCTTTGTGTGTACATCCCCTCTCTAAGGCCGTGGTCTCGCTTCCTGACTTAGCACCCTTGCTCTACTCCACCTCAGCACCCCATCCCTGTCCACACAGCAGGTCCTAAGGTACCGAACTTGGGCCTGCTTTTGCCATTCCCTGCTCTTGGTCTTCCACTGCTGCTTGCTTAGTACTGATAGTCTTCTCCTTCTGTTTGCCTTTGCCACGGTGGCCTCGTGCTCGCTGCCCGGCGCTGTGAGAACTCCTTCACAGTTATCTGCATTGTTTTCTTCCTCTGAATGTGCCTGGCCCAACTCGGGCCCACACGACAGCATCCTAGGCTCCTACTTGAGAGAAGAGTCTCTGATGGGAACTCGCTGGTTTCCTTTGCTCTTGACCCTGAGCCCCAGTGCTTCAGGCAGGCCTCTCTGGGCTTCTGTTCCTGGAGCTATCTAGTTGTGCCTTCCCTCACCAAGCTCTTCCTCCCGCTCCCCTTCTTCATTCCAGCTGTTAGCCTTGCTTCTGCTTCATGACTTGATGGGTGCCCCAAGCACAGACGTGTCTTTCCCTTGAACCTACAGCTCTACATCTGTGTGTGTCTCTTTCTGCTGTAAAGTGACTCTCTGCTTGTTCTGTCCCCCCTTGTGTGTTGGATCTCATCCCTCCCATCTGCACAAGGTTGGAGTACTTGTGGGTGGTTTCTTGGTGTCCTTCAGATAAACTCCACACTTAATGCAGAGCCAGTGAGGAGGCCCAGCATGGCCTGGCCTTGGTTCATTTCTCCACAGTAAAGAGACAGCAGAAGGCAGAGAGGCTGCCATAGTGTTTCTCTGCTGTGTGTTTACTGAGTATAACATGTTAGTGTGGAGGGCTCTAAGGAGGCAATGGAGCCTCCCTGTTGACTTCTGGTTTTGAAAGAAAGGAAATAATTACCAAAATAAAAAAAATGGCAAAGACAAGTTGTATTCTTTCCATCCATGCTGGATGGAATCTACAGTAGAGAAGAAAAGCTAGGCCAATTTGGAGGTGCTGAGGGTTCCACTCACAGCATTTTCCTTTCAGCAACAGCTGTATTGAGCTGTTTTCTTCAGTCTCCTTATATCAGTCACCTCGTTAGTTAGTTTCTTTGTTAACCCCTGTAGCATGCCTACTAGTCAGAAAGGTGTGATGATCCTGAGGTTAGTCTGTGTACACAGAGTTCTTGTAAGTTATGGGAGGCTCAGGGGTGGGGTTGTTCTGCCATTGGAGCTTGACAACCTTGACCCTGACACTTCCTGTGTTTACTGCTAGCCTTTGAGTACCAATATGAACGTCCTCCAGGAATCTTCGTAGCTGCTTCCTGACTGGATTGTTTGCGTTCAGTGGAACATATCTCTTATGTAGAGTTCCGATTAAGGATAACTTTTTTTTCTTTTGCAACAGGGTCCTCTATGTGTCCTTGGTTGGCCTAGAAGTCTGTGTATATCAGCTAGCCTCAAACTCACAGATCTGCTTGCCTCCGCTTCCTGAGTGCTGAGATTAAAGGCGTCCACCACCACTCCCAAATGAGAGTAATTTTTCACGTGTGTCTGCACTAGCAGATGCTCTAGTCCTGTAGCGGGAGTGTAACTTAAGACTCCTACTTTGGGAAAGTTGCTGCATACAGGTGTTAAGTTTGCAGATATTCCAGGAAGGCAATCTATTCAAGTGTTGCTGTCACGCATTTGTGTGACTCCTTTGAGAAGGCTCAGCTAAAGGAAGGACGGTGCTATGAAGCCTTCCAGTGTGTCTGGTGTCTCAGTCACAAGCTCCCTGTCTACCCCGTGCGGGACCTCCTCACCTCACACCATTGGTGTCATAATTGCTGCTGCTGCTGCTGTCTTATACCACGTGCTTAGCACAGTGCTCTCTCTCCCTGTGTTCAGTTACGTTCCTCCGCACACCATCCTTTGATGTGGATGAGGATTCTTCCCCTTTTGACTGATAAGAGACTGAGGATTAGATAACTTGCCTAAGGCTATAAGGCAGTGGCCGCGCTGGCATTTGAACCTGGTTCTGTTACACTCCAGGTTCTGATGGTGATGGATAGAAGTTTCTCAAGTCACTAAGGAACTGCCTGGTCTTCTCTAATGACATGACACGGGTACTGCAGCTTCAGCAAGGAAAGGGGTGGGAAAGTCTTCCTCTTTCTAATCTGTACCTCTAGCACAGGGCGGGAGCTGGTGCTACGGACCTTACATCTCAGCACTCAGGAGGCGGGGAGGTGGAGCTCTCTGAATTCAAGACCAGCCTGGTCTGCATAGCTAGTTCCAGGCCAGCCAGGGATACATAGTGAGACTTGTCTCAAAATAACAAAAAAGACAGGAGGCTGGGCATGTTGGTGCACGCCTCTAACCCCAGCACTCAGGAGGCAGAGGCAGGCGGGTCTGAGAGACTTTGAAGCCACTCTGGTTTACATAGTGCACTTCAGGACAGCCAGGACTATATAGAGAGACCCTGCCTCAGAAAAGCAAAACAAAAGGCCAAGGCAGTTACCTGAGCTATATGTAATAGTACAGAGGCATAGTGCAGCCCTGCAGTTAGTGCCCTTGCTAAGGCTTAGCGTAATAGGACTTTCCCCGCTTGCATTGTGAACTCAGGAGGTTCTAGCTTGAAACTTGAGGGAATAAGAGAACATCAGTCATCAGTTGGGAAATGGAGAGACTTTGCCTCTCTAGCCCTCAGAGTTGGAGGCCACTCGGGTGACCTAGTGCCTCCCCTTACTGTAGGCCTTCATGCCTCGAGGACTGGCAGAGAAACGAGGACCTGAGGAATGTGATGCAGTTGCTCTGTTGAGTCTCATCAACTCCTGTGATCACTTCATGGTTGACCGGAAGAAAGTCACCGAGGTAAGAGCTGGCCACCCAACCCCCTCTGCTCACTACTGGGAAGGCTGTATGAACTCCTGATAAGCCAGCCATGTAGCATAGCATAGCATAGCAGCACTCAGAACGGCAGTCAAAGACAGACTTCGGCCCCAAGTTGGCATCACTGCACAACTCATGGGCCTCATGGCATGGGTACCTGCTGTGATGTCCAAGAACCGGAATGTGAATGTGCTCAAGCACCTATAGTTCTCTAGATTAGTTTCCTGACATTCTGTTCCTGTGCTTGTCTTAGCTAGGGCTTCTAGTGCTGTGAGGAGACACTATGACCATGGCACCCCTTATAAAGGAAAATATTTCATTGAGGCTGGTTTACAGTTCAGAGGTTCAGTCCATTATCATCATGACAGGAAGCATGGTGGCATGTAGGTAGACATGGTGCTGGAGAAGGAGCTGAGAGTTCTACATCTGGATCCCCAAGCAGCAGGAAGAGAGACACTGGGCCTGACTTGAGCTTCTGAAACCTCAAAGCCCACCCCCAGTGACACACTTCCTCCAACAAGGTCACACCTACTCCAACAGGGCCACACCTCCTAATAGTGCCACTCCATGTGAGCCTATGGGGGCCGTTTTCATTCAAGCCACCACAGTGCTGTTGGCCATTTAAGTACATGGAGCTCAGATTTATCTTCTCTCCTCTGCCATTACCAAAAGCAAAGTTGTTTTCTGTATGAAACACTAGGTCTGAGGTATTGGGGAGATGGGTCAGTCAGTAAAGTATGTGCTGTGTAAGTATGAGGACCTGAGTTTAGATTCTGAGTACTTACATAAAAGCTGGATGTGGCAGTGCACATCTGTCATCTCAGTACTGTCATCTGGGGGCAGGGCCAGAGACAGTAGAACCCGGGGACTGAGAGGTGTCAGTCAGGTGAAGGTGCATAAAGGAAGATACCCAAAGTTGACATCTGGCCTCCACACAGACACATGAACACACGCACATGCATAGAACACACATACACAAAATAAAACACAAAAAGACCCAGGCACCAGGCAGTGGAGGCGGCACACGCCTTTAATCGCAGCACTCAGGAAGCAGAGGCAGGTGGATCTCTTGAGTTCAAGGCCAGCCTGGTCTACAGAGTGAGTTCCAGGACAGCCAGGGCTGTTATACAAAGAAACCCTGTCTCAAAAAACTTACAAAAAAAAGAGAGAGAGAGAGAGACCAATGCAGGGCTAGTTGTGAAACTCAGTGGTAAAGTACTTGTAAGGCATGCACAAGGCTCTAAATTCCATCCCCATCTACACACACACACACACACACACGAAAACAACACTGTCCTTCTATAAAATAGCCATGAGATCAAATTAGGTAGAACTGAAGAAAATATGAACACTAATGCATAATACATGTCAGGGTAGATCACTCTCCCTGTCACAGAACTCTGGAAGATTTTGATTTTTTTACTATATCGCCAAAGAATAACCCTTGCTTGTTTATAATTTTGAGGTCCTTGAAAAGAGTGTGTAGAAGCCTTGGATTATTTATAATTTTGGTCAAGAATGACACTATTTCAGCAGCATGGCAGCAGCTGAAGATGCAAATCCCTTTGTGCCCTCCAGAGATGAAGATTTAACGTAGTGTTGACCCTATCTTCCAGCCAAGAACACAGACTAGTTGATTGTATTTAACTATCTGGCAGGGTAGCACCGTTATTTTTCTTTTTTTCTTTTTTTTTTTTTTTTGGTTTTTCGAGACAGGGTTTCTCTGTGTAGCTTTGTGCCTGTCCTGGAATTCACTTGGTAGCCCAGGCTGGCCTTGAACTCACAGAGATCTGCCTGCCTCTGCCTCCAAGTGCTGGGATTAAAGGCGTGCGCCACCACCGCCCGGCAACACCATTATTTTTCATAAGCAAAAGTTGGTTTTGTTTTCATCATGATTTCCAAATCAGAGATCTCCCTTTACACAGCTTCCTGGCACTGGATGGGATCTGAAAGATTGCGTGCATGTGTGTGTTGTCTGCTGCAGCCTACAGTTCTATCTGGAGCCAGTGTGCCTGCTCTTTGACAGGTTGTGTGAAGACGCTTGGAGGAAAGAAGATGCAGAAATGTTTAAAAAGGAAACAAAGTTGCTTAGGGTTGTTTCTGTTGCTGGGATAGTTGCCATGACCAAAGCAACCTGGGGAGGAAAGGTTCCACTTGAGCTCACAGTTCCACAGCACAGCCAGCCCATCACGAGGAAAGGCCGAGCAGGAGCTCAAGTGGGCAGAGGCCATGGAGGGGCTGCTTTTTATAACAGAGGTGGCGCCCCTACATCAACCATCAATCAAAAACATGTACACAGGCCAGTGAGTTGGAGGTAGTTTTTTCAACTGAAGTTCCCTTTCCCAAAATGACTCTAGCTTATGTCAGATTGGCATCTTGCCAACACAAAGACATTTTAGGAGAATGATTTCCACAACTAAGGATGGAGGTTTCTTTGTATTATTTTCTTTTTGAGACAAGGTATCAATGTGTGTACCTTGAACTCATGATTCTCTTGCCTCCCAAGTGCTATCATTACAACTGCATGCCACCATGACTGTCAACCTTTTTTATAAAAAGATTTATTTGTTTTTATTTTACGTGTATGAGTGTTATGTCCGCGTCTATGTCTGTGCAGCATGTGTATGCAGTACCAGTGGAGGCCAGTAAGGATATCAGATCCCCTTGGACCGGAGGTACAGACGTTGTTACCTGCCATGTAAGTGTTAGGAATCAAAGCTGTGTTCTCAGCACATGCTCTAACCACTGAGCCACCTCTCCAGCCTCTTCTTTGTATCTCTCTGCCTCGGTTGTTATTTGTGTGTGAGTGGGTTGAATTTAACCCTTGACAGTATTCTAGAGCCAAAAAGTACATTCTGGTTTGTACTCCTGCTTTATTTGTCCTATCTGAGTTTATAAAATTGTTATATTTATTTATCTATAATTTTTTTAACATTTCTTATATGTGTCTAAGTGTTTTGCCTATGTGTATGTGTGTGTACCATGTGCTTGTGGAGGTCAGAAGAGGGCATCAGATCTCTTGGAGCTGGAGGTACAGAAAGTTGTGAGGCACCATGTGAGTACTAGGAACTGAACCTAGGTTCTTAGCAAGAGCAACAAGTGCCTTTTTGGGGGGTGGGGGTTTCAAGACAGGGTTTCTCTGTGTAGCCCTGGCTGTCCTGGAACTCACTCTGTAGACCAGGCTGGCCTTGAACTCACAGAGATCCCCCTGCCTCTGCCTCCAAGTGTTGGGATTAAAGGCGTGTGTCACCACTGCCTGGCCAACAAGTACTCTTAACCACCATATTTATTTATTTATTTATTTATTTTGGTGTGTGTGTGTGTGTAGGTGTGGTCGTGTGACTGTTAGAGGACAACTTTGAAAAGTCAGTTCTCTCCTTCCACCATGTGGGTCCCAGGGATTGAAGGTTGTCAGGCTTGGTGACAAGCGCTTCTACCCACTGAACCATCTTGCCAGTTCCCGCCTGGTCATTTTAAAACAACTTTGGAATTGGTTGTCATTAGACCTGAATTTCTATCTTGGAAATCGAGAAGATCTGGGGACACTGAGTTAGTTCATAAAGCTCCGATAGCAACAAGCCACAAGTTGAGTGTAAGCTGCTGCTTTAGATGGGACATCCATTCTCTAGTTGATGCCAATCCTTCTTCCTTCCGCTTCCCTAAGGGCTCCCCTGACCCTCAAGCATTTCAGTATGTGACCCAGCAGGGACTTCACCGCTTGAGAGATGCTCTCTGGGCAGGCACAAAAGAAAGGTCTGACTTAGGGGCGAGAGGGCTTCCTTGTCCTGTGTGCCATGTCAAGTGCATGCTAGATTATGTGGTGGTCTCAGGAAAGGCCCAGCCCTTCTTGTCCTCTGGATACCACACTGGTCAGTTTCATAGTTCAGTAAAGTCTTTCTGCAATTTCTTTTTAGAGCTAAAAATGTCTCAGTTTACCCTATTAAATTAGAAGACTTACTAAAAATGTTATGTCCAGCTTATTATTGTTGCATTTCTTTGCACTTTTATTGTTGCATTTCTTCGCTTGTTGAGAAGAGGGACTGTGCCACTGTGCACAGGTGGCGGTCAGGACAACTTGTAGGAGTTGGTTTGCTTCTGCTGTCTTAGTTACTTTGCTAGTCTGTCACCAAGGCAACTTAGACAAGAAAGCTTTTCGTTGGTGAGAGTCCAGAGTGACGGTGGAGTAAAGGCAGCAGCAGGACCAGCTGAGCTTGCACAGGAACTGCAAGCAGGAGGTAGAGAACCCACAGAGCCTGACCCCAGGGAGGCGCCTCCTCCAACAGTGTCACACCCTCCTGATACTTCCCAACTGGGGACCAACTATTCCAACACATGAGTCCTCCAGACCTTCTACTGGCTGGGTCCGGATTGGATTCAGGTTTGGGGGCTTGGCACCAAGCACCTTTACCTGCTGAGCCATACCGACTCAACTTCGTTTTTGTTTTTGTGTAGCTAATTCGGTGTCGGAACGAGATAATGCACTCTTCAGAGATGAAAGTATCTTCTACGTGGCTTCGAGATTTTCAGATAAAGATCCAGAATTTTCTGAATGAATTCAAGAATATTCCAGAGATTGTAGCAGTATATTCCAGAATAGAGCAGGTAAAGATCTTTATATATTTTGTTTTTTTTTTTTTTAAAGACAAGATCTTACTGTTAGCCCTGCTTGGCCTTGGAACTTGATAGAAAGACTAGGTTGTTCACCAATGTTCATGTGGTAGTTCTCCTGCTCTACTTAATGAGGGCTGGGATTATAGGCATATACCATGCCCTTCTGGAACTTCATTTAACAGTTCTGGCATACAAAACTAAGCGGTCAGAACTATCCATAGTCACTCATTTAGAATTTGATGTTAAGCCAGGTGTGGTGGTACATGTAAATTCCAGCACTTGGGAGACTGAGGCAGAAGTATGGTAGTTCAAAGCTGGCCTTTATTACATAGTAAGTTCCTGCTTCCTCCTTGGAAGCCTGAGCTTCCAAGTGAGACCCTGTTTCAAACAGAAGAAAGATGGATTTGATGTTTATTGAAACTAAAACGTATTTATTTATTATTGGTGTGATGCTGATGATAACGCACACACATCCTCGTGAATGCCCGGCACGCACTCCAGACTCCTACTCTTTATTTCCTATTATTATTTGGACAGCTAGTGTGAACAAAGGGAAGAATGCTGGCATAAAATGTGGAATTAACAGAGCGGAGTTTTTCTTTAATAACAGTGTATGGTTAAAATAGGTCTAGGTAATGGTATTTTAGTATAAATTCTTTGAGTTACAATAGTTCGTTTATTTTGTGTGTATGTGTGAGTGCATGTGTGCCCACGTGAATGTGCACAAGTATCCCCCACCCACAGAGAAGTGTGCATGTCACAGTGTGTGTGGAGATTATCGGCAACTCTTGGGAGGCTGTTCTCCCCTTTCCCCGTATGAGGTCCGGGGATGGACCTCAGGCTGTTAGGCCTGCACTCAGGTACAAGTAGCTGAGGGTGTGGCTCGGCGGCAGGTTCCTTAGCTAGCAGTTGGTCCCTCAGTTCCTTCCCCAACACTGCAAACAGTGATCCACTGCAGAATGAACTTTTAAGGTGAGGGTGAACCCAGGAGAAGTTGGGGAGGAGCGGGGAGGAGATATGATCAAAATACATTGTGTCCATGGATGAAGTTCTCAAAGAATTCATCAAAAATAGTTTGTATGCTCACCCCACAGCTGCTGACATCTGACTGGGCTGTTCACATTCCTGAGGAGGATGAACGAGATGGGTGTGAATTGGAAACAGGAAGTTACTTGAGTGTGAGCCAAATCCATGAAATTGAAACGGAACTGCTGAAGGAAAAACTGCAAGAGATGTATCTTCAAGCAGCTGCAGAAGAGGCGTTGCCAGAAGAGGTAAAGGGAGGGGTGAGGTGTAAGGAGGAGAGAAAGGTGGCGGCAGCAGTAGCAGCTGGTTTCGACACGGTTTCTGCTGCTGTGATAAACACCATGACCCAAAACAACGTGGGGAAGAACGGGGTTATTTCAACTTACGACTCAGGTCACAGTCCATCACTGAGGAAAGTCAGGGCAGGAACCCAGAAGCAGAGACTGAAGCAGAGGCCTGCTTTCTTAGACAACTCAGGCCCACCTGCCCAGGGGCACTACCAACCCCATTGAGTTAGGCCTGGGCCCTCCCACATCAATCCGTAATCAAGAAAATGCCCCACAGGCTTGCCCATGGACCAATTTGGTGGGAACATTTTCTCAATCGTGGTTCTGGCTCCCAAAAATAACTCTAGCTTGTGTCAAGTGACATAAAATTCCAGCCAGGACAGACAAGGGAGCCAGGTTTCTGATTTTTAAGTCAAGTGATATCTAGAAGTACATATTCTTCCAGTATTTACTGATCATATGTTTGATTTGGTTTGGTTTACTTTTTGAGACAGGGTTTCTCTGTGTAACAGCCCTGGCTGTCCTGGAACTCACTCTGGAGATCAGCCTGGTCTTAAACTCATGGAGATTAGCCTGCTTCTGCTTCCCGAGTACTGGGATTAAAGGCGTGTGCCACCACCGCCCAGTCTGATCATATATATTTTAATGGGTATTTTCACTTACCACATATTTGAGGACCTAATATGTGCCCCAAAGTGGCATAGTGGCATAAGAGTTAAAACAGAATTCGGAGCAAGATGCTTGATGGGTTATCAGCTCTCAGGGAAAACCCTCCCCGCAAAAAAGGAAAAGATGCTATTGAGCTATAACTCAGAGATTTAGTAAGTGATCAGTAGTTGGCCTGGGAGGAAAGATGCTCTTAGCAGAAGTGTGGAAGGCAAGTTAGTTTGGCCTGGGTAGTGGCCCAGAAAGCACAAGTGGGATGATCAGGGAGGAGTGTGGCACGCCAAGCTGTTTGGACTTCAGTCCCAGAAACCAGAGGAGCAGGTAATAAGTGTTGGAAATGTGTAGCCCTCCGTGTGCAGCATGCACATTTCTAGCCCTCCTTACTTTGTTTGAGTCAGGAAAGGGGCACTAGGTCTCTACATAGGAAAGATGATTTCTATCTTCTGTGCCTTTTTCTTCAACAGACCATGGAATGGTTCATATTTCAGATGGCGAGGGAGTCACAGGTGGAATGTGAAAGGGAATGAATTTAAACTCAAGTGGCTGGAGGTTCGACACTATTAGCATCCTTTACCTGGAATAATAGGCAAACACACAGTTAACTAGTTAACTGGCTAATTTAGTAAATTAAGCCTTTTTTAATGAATGTGTGCCAGACACAATGCTAAACTCCTTTTAATAAATTGACTCTTGAACCCACCTCCCCAAAATCTGGTTCATATTAATATTGTCATTAATTTGTATATATGAAAGTGAGTTGGGAGCCAATCCACGCAAAGTCACACAGCTAGTTAAAGTAACAAAGCCTATATGCCTACAATTTTCTAGAACTTTTGGGTTTCCATATTTACTACTTCTTCCCCTTGACATGAAAATGCACAAGCTTCCCATTTCTCCCCACCACCACCCCATTTTTTGTTTCTTGTTTTTTGTCTTTTTCAGAGAACCCAGGGATACCTTCAAACTCTTTTGTATAGCCAAGGATAACCTTGAACTCCTGATCTTCCTGCTTCCACCTCCCAAGTACTAGCCTTTCAGGTATATATGTTACACCTAGATCACCATTCTTAAGAATTTTAATCAGTTAAATTTTACAGTACTGAGGATGGAACCCAGACTTTCTTGTTGTTTGTTTGGAGACAGGATCTCACTAGTAGCACATACCAGGACAAAGCCTTCCTTTTAATCTGCCTTGCCTTCAAGCTGGAGTAGTCACTCTTGCTAGAGCTATGACTACCTTAAACACACTTATGTATTTATTGCTTTCACAAAAGGGAAAGATTGAAGCTCTACTTCTGATTGGAATGAGAAAACAAGCCAATTTGGAACAGAAAACTGGAGCAGGCTATGGAGGAGGACCAGAGGGTTCTGCATAAAACCTTTAGGCAAAAAGGAGCTAAGTGGAAGGGAGCAAACCCATTTGGGGACTGCAGACTCATGCTTGCTAGGAAACCAAGAGAGAAGAGGCCCTAGGGAGGACCACGAGTCCTGGGAGGAACTTAGTGTGGTATGCGGGGCTGGTTGACATGGTGCCTGCATTAGCTACACATGGCAGACAGCCCTATGGTCTGGCCAGGGCACCAAGCAGAGTCTAGGAGAACACATGCCATGACCAAAAATGCCACCTATGCTCTTCACATTTTTTGTGCTTCCAAGGGATAGCCAAAGCCTGGCATTTTGTAGGGGCTCTAGGCAGGTTTTCAGTCTTCCAACTAACACCTCCATCCTGCAGGGTGGTCTCCTTGTCTGCTTGCTTGCTTGCTTTTTTTTTTTTTTTTTTTTTTTTTTTTTTTTTTTTTTTTTTTTCGAGACAGGGTTTCTCTGTGTAGTCCTGGCTGTCCTGG